ACATTGTTGTAGGTGACAGTCCTAAAGAGCTTACAATCATTGCTTCTGGAATTCATTTGAGTGTGATAATGTGAAGGAAGTAGCAATCTCTCCAACTTTAGAATTGCATAAAAAAAGGAGCCCTATTGCCTTCTCCTTACTGAGAAATAATGAATATACCACTAATGATAGGACACTACAAGGAGTCTACTCCATTCCTTTACAGGATGAGAGTGGATCATCAGTATGAATATGTTAGAGCAGCATGCAGATTTTTGAAAATAGGATCACATCATGAGACAATTAGAAAGGGCTTATGTACAGTTGCCATGACAGTTTTTGCTTGTGACAATGATGATGATGTGTCTTGATAAAGCACACCTACATCATGTCTTTGGTCTGGCATATCTTAAATATTTGAGATATCTGAAAATTTATAAAGCTATCAGGAAAGGGACTGCAATTAACTTTAAGCACTTTGCAGTGGTGTTGCATGCATGGAGGGCATTTTTTTGAAGTTTTGTAGTGTTCTATTTTTCATCTTTTGCTACATTTATGTTTTTACTCATTATATTAATGTATCTTGTTTTAACTATTTTCTTGTTAATTTTATTTTCTATGTTTTATTTAACATAGAAGTATGTTATGCTTCTGTGCATGTGACTTGTGTAAATTTATTTATCGAAAAATTATATTTTCAAATTTGTTTACTGTTTGATTTACCAAGTTCTATTCTAGAATCTGATGATGACCATTAAATATGGTCAAAGATGTTTCACTAATAAACATTCCATTTTTACTGGATTTCTGGTTTTTGGAGTTACAATTTTATGTAATCTAAACTGACATATTAAAGTATGTTTCTGTAGGTGTTGCATACATGGAGGTCATCTGAGACCCAAGAGACCACCTGATTATTGTAGATAATTGATCTGTAGTATTTTAATTAGGATTCTTCCTTACATGATTTACTTTTCTGTGCTCAATACCATAATACAAAATGAATAACTTTCTAAATTCAATGCTTTTCAGAGTTTTATTCAAATGTAAAACTCTCATTGTTGATTAACTGTTTTAAACCGGTTTTACTACTGGATTCATGAATATTTTATTTTATTAAAAATGTTACAAGCAATGCATTGGTTGCCTAGGTAGATCACCACTGATTTTGGATGGTTATATTATTGACAAACATATAATTATGTTCTAAGTGAAAAATTATTATAAAAAATTATTTTTTGACTCATGACTTAACCCAAAAAGTACCCTACAGTTTGGAACACCTTGAAGTAAATTCATAACACATTTATAATGATGCTTATACAGACACGTAAACATTAATAACGAGAGAACCATTTTGCTTTAAATTAAACACATGAGAAAAAAAAACAACATAGGGTTATTGATTTTTGCATTCCAAAGATACAAAAGATTCTATTTAATTCAATTCTTATTTTTTGTGATCAGCATGTTCTAACTTCTCAACTCTACAATTATTTTCATCTGATATTGTTCTATCACCAATCATCCAAGCCAAAACTACTATTCTTTTAATAAATTACTGTGCTGGAAAAGTTGTGTAAGGCTTTTCTATATTAGCCAAACTGAATATTCTCATCTGTGGACAATAATGAGGAGTAATTCTGTTACATACAAGGCCACTTCAAGCACAAAACTGAAAGATGTCCAGAGATATACTGTACATAGCAGCAAGCGGTGGTGCTTTCAGACTTTTCTGTCCATCACTCTCTCTAAATCTGCAGTGCTGCATCATCAAGAATTAAAAGTAAACAGTGTAAAAAGTCACAAGCAGTTCACACTGGATGAAACATGTATAGTTATGAGGTAATTAAGAATAAAATTTAATACTTGTAATGCTCAATAAAAAATGTAAAAGCTGAACATGTGCAGTGTTATAACTAGCTTTTCATGTGCATTACAGCCAAATATAAAATCTTGCATGTCTTTTTGGACAAAATATAGAAATGATGGGTTATCAAAAATATATTACTGATTAAAATTAGAAAAGAAAAATATAAATTTTACTTCCATGGGCCAATTCTGCAATGTTTTTGGTTAAATTTAAAAAATAACCAATTTCAGGGCCTTCCTTTGTCCTCAGCCATGTCTATGGGTGCATAGACATGGTTATATAGACATGGTGCATAGATATAGGCATCTATAAAAGATGCCTAATTATGCAAATGGAACAGACACTAGATTGAAAAGCCCAAAAACCCCACTAGATTGAAATGTCATGGACTGGTCCTGTTTTATCTGACTTTTCACGATTTTTTCTGAAGTATGCAATCTAGTAAGTTATTAGAATAATATATTTAGCCCAAAAACATTTTGTATTTATTAAAATTATTTGCATATTTTTAAACCAACAACTGAATAGAAAAATCCAACACTTCCTACAGTTGTTTAAAGATATACAAATCTTTGGTTAACAAATTTTTATAGTTACTATACTGGATGATCTAGAGCAGGGGGTCACCAAATTATAGGATCCGGCCTGCAAGGTCCGTTCATCTGGCCTACTGCCGCACTGTGCCACAAATGAGCTAATTTTTTCTACATAGTAAGTAAAAATGCCAAATTTGGTCCAACCTGATTTTTGCATCTGACAGTAATATAATTTTTAGGAAAATCAGTGAAATAAAAAACAGCAACTTTTTATATCAGAGTGCTTTTTATGAAATACCTGCAATGAAGTTTCTAAGAAAAGCAATTATGAGCTTGCTGCAGCCATTGTGCTTGTGTTGACAAATAAATATGTTGGCTGTCTTTATTTTTTGTGTATTCAGTGTACTGTATTGAATAAAATGGTTATGTGGCTCCCGCTTGGCATACTCTGTTATGTGGCCAGCTGAGAAAAAAGTTTGGTGACCCTGATATAGATAACAGTACAAATGCAAATTTGGTTTGGTGACATTTTAGTACATTAAATAGACATAATTTGAACTAGATTTTTGTGCTTTATCATATGTCAGATTTTTAACAGTAATTCTTACATTACAGATTAATGTCATGTAATTCAGATATTAATCAAATATAATAAAATTAAAGAATGTAATTTACTGATAATTCATTGAAAACAAAATCATCAGATCTTTTTCAAAATTTAGTTCTCATCAGATAAAGTTCACATAATATAAAAACTAGTGTTGCAACGAATAGTATATTCGGCCTTAGGCCGAATATTCAGCCAAACTATTCGGTTTAATTAACGCACATATGAAAATTGGTGCACAAACCGCATTATGGCAATACCCTGCTCTCCATTGGCCCGCTGTCGCTACGCTTCGTCAATTGCATTAATTCTTGACAGTTGTAGCGAACAGACAAGAGCGTCATGGCAGTATGTGATAAATGATATCAAATGTGAATAACAATGAAATGACCTTTTTCCATTATTTACACGTTTAGAACAGAGAAAGACCGCAAAGTGAAAGTGTGAAAATAAATATGAAATTGAGTTGATAACATAATTGAACAAGTCGAAGCAGCTTATTGGCATGAAATTTGCAGCTGTCAATGCCAAACAATTGTTGTCATAGACTTCAGAAAGCTAAATGCTTGTAATGAAAGTCACTTAGCGTGCAAGGGTGAAAGCCTGGAACATTCAGGATATCAAGCTGTCTCGAATCTGTGAAATCATAACTGAAATATACCGACGTCCTGTCTGTCTCTTTTCTCTGTTATCACCAGGCTATGAGTCACGTAATTATAAAATGGAAAAACTACAACGGAAAAGTGACGAATCGAAAGTATTGTGAGCGCGTATTATGATGTATGCATGGGCATACGTGGACTAGAGATAGAGGGAAACAGAAAGAGCAAAGATGAGCTCTTAAAAAGGATAGGCAGGGTCAGACCCTCAGATGTGTGCAACGATTCTCGAACGAATAGGTGTATACGTCTGCTGATATTTGTAATTGTAAATACATGTGACTAATATTTTTTTTTTTATTTTGTGCATGTTATAAGTTAAATATAAACAAACACTAACTTGATAACATGACACAGTAAATTAATCATTTTGGTATTTAGTAAGTCTGTGTTTTTGTTATTTCTTACTCCTGTTTTTATGTATTCGGCCGAATAGTGATTAAATATTCAGTATTTGGCTGAATAGCGAAAAATAGGCCTAATATTGAATAGTAACTGAATATTCATTACATCACTAATAAAAAATTTGATAATAATTACAAAGTTTTCAATATAGAGTATACTTTTTTTTGAAAAAATTCAAAGCACTTGCAGTCCATAGAGTTATGGAAGAATTTTTTGTTTTTTGTAATTGCTTCTTAATAGCTGATAACTGTTTTGGGTTTAACTTTGAATTGGCCTCACATATTTAGATTTACAAGTAATTTTACATAAATACTTTTTAACACAAACAGAAATAATGAATTGCAATACCTACAAAAATGTTTGCTTATAAGCTCATTTTCATGTCTTAATAGAGAAATTATTTTACATTTTCTCAATTTCTAATAAAATTGGTGGACACTTCAAAATGAAACATTAGTGTATGTGTACATATATTTTTAGTATTAATCTCTATCAATTGTGTGCAAAATCAGATTTTAAGTTAAACATATCAAGCCAGTGCTTCAATCTGCATAGTGTTTTTGTAATTAGTCATTCAGGAAACAAAACTCAAACAACAATTCAAAAATCTTGTGTTCAGTACAAACATTTTGAAATTAGAATATTGGATGAATTTTTATGATGGGTAGATGAAATGTAAAGCATTTATTCAAATAAATTTTTTTATAGTTATGATGAAACATTTTTATTTTGTTATGTAAGGAAGGTTTAGGAGTATAAAATTTAATTATTGGAATTAAGTGAAACTTTAATAAAAGTTTGTTGAAATACCTAATGACTATTGGATAAAGGAAAATATTCTGAATATATTATATTGATTTTTACTAGAAAGCACAGATGACAGTCTTTCTCTTAACAAAAAAAATTATGTTTGCATATTTCATGAACTCTTTAAAACAAAATTATTATAAACATGACTTTATTTTGTAAGAATTTCAATAAAAAGTTCAAAAAAATATGATTTTACATTTTGATAATAAAAGTTTGAATACATAAGTGATTAGGTTGTTAGTATGAAAATTTTCACAGTAAAACTTTTATACCATAATTCTTAATACTTTTTGTACAGATTAATTATGTCTTCAACATCTTCCTTAGAGCCAAGAAATATTGGAGAACGTTGATGAATATTTTCTGGGACAATATCCAATATAGGTTTTTTCCCATTAGTTGCCAATCCGCCTGCATTTTCCATAATAAAAGCCATAGGATTACATTCATATAAAAGGCGAAGCTATAATTAAAATGAATAAATGACTTATAATTTTGATAATAAATAAAACAATCAAATTTTAAGAAAAAAAAATATCTTTATTCAATTAAATTGAAAGAACTAATGATAAATTATTCATTATTTTTTTATAGCAATATTTGATAAATTAACAGTTTACAAATAGTGTTTTGTTCATTATACTTTAAAATTAATGATATTAAATAAATTTAAAAATTGTAATAAAAATAAAATTAAAATTAGAATTTTATGAAATAAAAGAAAAAAGGATAGTCCATTAGTGTGTCATCTTATGACACTAATTGGTTAATATGACTGCTTTTACATTAACACATTTTAGAGTTATTCTTGGTCTATTATTCTCTTATAGTATGGAGGCACTTTGAACTAAAGAAACAAGTTAACATATATATGTTTTATCACAGTTTGAACAGAATTTTCACTTTGAATTTTGAAGTAGCCATATTTTGAACTAACTGAATTCCTTAACATGTAAATCCTTACATGTTAAGGAATTCAGTTCAAGTTTAAGGACAAAAGTACAGTTGAGAACTAATGTTATTTCAAACTATTAAGAGTTTAATTTAATGAGGATTTCCTGTATGTACATATACACTTATATATAAGAAAGTAAATAAGAAGATATTATATCTGTCAATGGTAGTCAAAGTATGACTAACAGGTTGCATGTGGCTCTCAAACATTACTGGTGCAATTTATGTAATATATTTGTCCATTTAGATTGAATTAAAAGATTAGAATACAACAGTATATCCTTTAAACAAAATAAAAACTTTATATTAGAAGGATAATAAATATTATGTGTGTGGATGTTTGATATCAAGACTGGGTAAATTTACAATCAAAAAATAGAATTGTCCTTATATCATTATCATAATAATGTTGTATTACCAACTCATTGTTCTTATCAAAACTGACTTATTATTAAGTGTGGATTTCTTGAAGTGTGTTTAGTTAATCAGGTAGGGCATATATATATATATATAGACCCTACCTGATTAACTAAATATTATAATACTTATTAGAAAATAGTCTAGCTATAGAATTAATTCTAAAAAATATCTGTTATTTCAAATAATACAAAATATGATCTTAATGTGTGCAAATAAAGATCACAAAAAGATCCCACAGTGAGTCAACCAGTTAAAATTAGAGAATTTTTGGAGATAAAGATGAGAATGAAAGTCTTTGTTGGAATGATTAACTTTGTAAGAATTATAACATTTAATTAAAAATGTTTATTCTCCTTATATATTAGTATCATCAGATAAAAATTAGAAAATCAAATCTGAAAGGTGTTCAAAAGTTCTAGGAATTGATACATAAAATAAAAAACATCAAAAGATTTATAAATACAAAAAAAAATCAATGATGAGCTTCATGTGTTCACATAACAGAACTATCTTGTACGTGCGCATGTAATAAATTTTTCTGAAATTTGTCATGGAAAATTCAGAACAGAAAATATGCATAAAATTGCAGAAAACATACATCATGATAAAACAAACTTTCAGGAAGAAAGCTTCATCACAATCAAGATGTTATGAGTAACATACATAATATGAAACTGGATGAATTGTTATAACCAATGATCAAGGTAGTGAATGACTTTAAACTAAAAAAAATAAAATGTCGAAAATAAAAATATTTGATCAATGATTAGTAGGGATAAACTTTTTCAGACATTGCAGATCAGTTGGAGATATCTCTGGAAACATGTCATCCTACCATAATACAATCCTAAAGCACTAGGAAAGTTCCACACAGACCAATAAAAATCAACTCTCTGAAAATCTCACAGAACATGTTGGAAATGTTTGTTACTAACCCTAGTTAGTTAGATAAAGAATGTCATTACTCCTGCTGAAAGTTGGGTATATGGCTTTTGAAAGTAAAACCAAGAGAATCAAATGGCTAGTGAGAGCATTTACTGAACTGTACTGGATAATGATAAGCCTATACTGAGAAGTCCAATATTAAAATTGTTTTCCTATATTTCTTGGCCAGTGACTACATATCAATATTTCAAATTAAACTTTCCATTAAAAGTTGGAATTTTTGTTAATGTGTGAAAAGTGTATTTATATAATTTAACATGTACTTATAACAAAAATTCCAGCTTTTAGTGGAAAGTTTAATTTGAAATTAAGACTGTTACAGGTATATTTATTTTTTGAGAAGCAGATTAATCATTATGAATTTAGTCCTGATGGTCTATTTTTTGTTGCCATTTTTCATTCAGATAAATTCTTCCATATGACACCATTAAATGTTGATACAAATATGTTGATAGATTAACTACTCCACGAGTGTCATTACAATCACTACTTATTAACGAAATATGGAACCACTATTCTGTAATCACCCATTTCCCAATGTAACTCCTAACCACTTTTTAATTTATCCAAAGTTGATAAAGTTGTAAATGAAAAGAATTTGAGTTAATAGGACTCATACAAGACAAAATTTTGTGATCCCTGAATGATGATTATTCATATATTAAAATAAATTTATATCCTAACATGTTTTGACATTTTTGATCCATTCCTGAAACGTTTTGAACAACTCTGGTACAATTATTAGATAAGAAGTTAATTAGAAAATCAGTTTAACTCTACTCATTTCCAGTAACACTGGGCAACAAAAAAAGAGGGAAGAACAGGAAACAAAATATTCTACATATTATCAAACTTAATATCATCATACAAGCTATGTCTTTTGATGCAAAGCAAAAAGTAACTATTTCTATGGGACAAACAAATTTATGGGACTAAATATTTCAATACTTCTGTTTTGAATGACAAATTCAGCTAATTTAATCATAAATATGCTAATACATATATCTCTAGCAAGTGAAACTTTCAGGCTTAGCTAGTCATTTCAATAAACAATACAGTTCAAGAATCTACATAAAATGAGTTTTATATAAACCCAATAAATTCCAGCACTGCCATTTATCCTTAATGTATTGAACAGATATTACTTGCACGTACTCTATTCAAATTCAATAGAAATTTTGTGTGTGTATTAGCTATACTATTTCAGATATAAAAATATCCTTACCTTTCCTTTAGGGGACTCTTTAGTTGCAGGATACATAAAAATGCCCCCATATTTTAAGGTACGATGAACATCAGCAACCATTGAGCCAATATATCTAGCACCATACGGTTTTCCACTCTACATACAGATGAAAAATCATTAATAAAAAAATGGAGATACTTTAAACTAATTTTTTAAGGCTAAAAATATTAGTTATATCATACAGAAGGAAATTTTTTCTGTTTAACATATTCTATAACAGCATCATCCCATATTGAAGCATATCCTTCATTTATACTATAAATTTTTCCTCTTGGTTTAATCTTCATGTCAGGATCTGTCAGAATAAATTCTCCAATAGCCTATGAAAAAATTTTATGCTATTACATATCTTTTTTAATTATCAATAACATTCTAACAAAGTACAGTACATTCTACGTAATCTGAACTAGCTAGTTTTACAGCAAATATTTTGCTGTAAAAAATTGTACATTACAAATAAGCAGAAAAAAATAAAGAAAATAAATTTATTCACAAAATTTATTAATATACAGCTTATAAAATTTTTCTTGATACACAATATTGTGTGTGTAAATACTTCTGGAATTATGTATCTTTTCTTGTAATATTGGAATCAATTCTCTCATTCATTTCTACATGCAAATTAAGTCAATGACATTTAGTTGAATGTACATACAAGGATGGTTTCACTTCTATTCAGAATTTTAATAATGGCAATGAAACTGTTATATAGTTACAATTTGCAATTTTATTCTAGGTATTTTCCCCATACTGACTTCTTCCACCATTTTGACAACAATGCTTGCATAATAGAAATATTTTGACTAGTGTTGTAGACACATGCAGTGGCAAGTCTTCCAAGGTTTCCTTTAAAAAGAAAAAATCATGTGATAATCAAATTGCAAAAGATCCAGAATTTCCTAATGAAGTCTGTTGATTGCCTCCACCATGCAAGGATTGTGCTCCAACACCAGTCAGTACTTCTATTCTACAGACAATCATTATCAAAATGATGAGAATATATGGAGGGAGATTTCCTTAAGAAAAATGAATTGGGACTATGTAAAATACACAGTTCCATTACCATAAATTCCAGATAAAAGTTGAACCACCATGTAGTTTTTAGTTTCTCTCACCTATCTCTCTACTCTATTATTAGTAATATTAAAAATTTAATTTACAATAATCTTTCTGTTAATAACAAAATTAAAAATAATTGTAAATCAATGAAAGAATGCAACTTGAGAAGTTATTTTCAGAAGTATTTTTGTACTGGATAAGGATAAGTTCAATAGCCAGAATGGAAGGGGAATCATTTTGCACTATAGCAAGAGCAAAACTGGACATATTTTTTGCTTCTGATTATTTTAAATTAAATTGAACAGTAAAATAGATGTAATAGTTAATCTACCATTAAATAAGCTTTAAAATAATATACAAAACAAAATGTAATTCACAAGCAAACACCTTAACATATTCTGTATCTAGGTTGTTGTATGGAGTTCAGATTAATAAAAAGTTTGGATTGGTAAAAAAGTGTACTGTACTCTAACGTGGTGTATGCCTTTATATATATATATATATATATATAAAGGCATACACCACGTTAGAGTACAGTACACTTTTATTTATATATATATATATATAAAAATCGACACTGGAGTGAAATTCAGTTTTTGGGTGTTAAGAGTTCAGAAAAATAACTGTTTACAAGACTTCACAAAATTTTGTAAACCATTTGTCCTAATGAAGCTGTTTTGTAATGTTGAAAAGGTTAGAATTATATTTTTAATATATTATTATTGTGTTTACTTTTCTTATCCCCTAATATCCAAAAAACTGAATGTCACTCCAGTATTGTGTATAGTATTTGAGTGTACATGCTTTTACTAGCTTAAAAAAATAAATATCAATAAAATTAATTATTACTAATAATATATTCACGAATAATTAAATGTAACAATAACTTACAGGATCAAGCATGAAACCATTTACACCCGTTCCAGTTGATAAAACCACCATAGTAGCACTCCCATATAATGCATAACCTGCAGCAACAATGTTTCTACCATTTTGTAAAGCATCTTTCAATGAAGGAGGATCTGATGTTGTCTAAGCAAAAAATGAATGTAATAAAATAAATAATTCAAAAATTATGTTAATATATAATCATTAAAATAAAATTTAAGGAAAAATTTAAATACTAAAATGAGATATTAGTGAAAAAATGTATCCATTCTTACATTTAATAATTCAACTTGGACATTTTGACATTAAAAAATAAGTTTTAACTTTAATTTTAAATTTCAGCCTTTCTGTTTACTCAGATCATTGCTACTTTGCCTTGTATAGAAAATTTAAAAAATTTAATATACTGGATTACTTACTTGATCAACACATCAAAAACCTTATTTTAATATCAGCAGGAAATTAATTTTTATTTGGATAAATGTTTTTGACATAATTATAGGTCTGCTTCAGATCTAAACTTTTTTCTATTGTATTTTGGAACTTGAATAAGAATAACAATACATTCCTCAAAAGTGAAATTGCAACACCATGAAGGAATGCACGTAGCCACCTGCAAATTGCAGGACTAGTAGGTGGCAGATATGCAAATGATTAAGTTTGCATAAGCATTGTGGGTCATGTGGTACCCAGTTTTGGGCTATAAAGACCAGCAGCCAGCTCAGACTGTAAATGCAGTGATGGTTCACAGCAGATGAACTTTTGAAGTGTGGAAAGTGCCTTGGAGAAACAGCAAGCTGAATACCACCAATTAATGGCTGGGGAACAATCCTGGAGCTGCATGACCTTGATTTGTCAATGTGTGCATGCCATGTGTGTTGGGACAACACACATGGCACCATCCAGTGGTGTGTGACATGATGGATGTTGCTACATCCATCATGTCATATCCAAACACACCAAAGAGGGAGTGGATTACACCAGTATATGACAGAGCACACAGACCAGCAGATTTGTCAAATGGCCCATCGGGACCCATTCACCATGGCATGTGACATTTGAAGCTGCCTGTTGCCATAAATGGATGCATCAGTGTCCATCCAAAACTTTTCCAACAGGTTGCATGAAATCAGGCTGCGTGCATGGCAACCAGCAACTGGGGGCCATTAACTATTCAATACAGGGCTGCACACCTAGCACGATGTCATTGTCTTCACAACTAGACCACTGAATGGCATCAGGTATTGTTTACGGATGAATGCTGCTTCTGTCTGTGGAGGAATGACGGTCATGAATGGGTGTGGCAGTATCCCATGAAATGCTACATGCCAGCCCTTTTTGCCAAGCATTACAACACTAGCCCCATACTGAGCATCATGTTTGATCAGCAATGAACATTTCAGGCACTCTGACAGAGCACCAGTATATCACACGAATTGTGGGGCTTGTGGTTCAGCCACTGGTACAGGCTGCACTCAACATGATGTTCCAGCATGATAATGCCTGCCTGCATCACATGCTGAACTCTCATTTCTCTGAATGGTATTCACATCCTTTTCTGGCTGTCAGCTTTGCTGGATCTCTCTCCCCATCAAACACCTACATGACCTCATCTGACATGAGGTGCACTGGAGACCACTGCTACATACTGTGGATGACTTGCATGCAAAATTTGGCAAAGGATATCTCAGGCAACTATTAAATTGTCACATTGATAGTATGCTTTGCCATATAGTGCCCTGTGGGAGCCATATTCATTACTGAATAAACAGATGTCTGTTCCTTTCTTTCTTCTAATAATTTGCATTTCTCTGTCATCTAAACCAGTCCCACAATGTGCACACATTCCTTTGTGGAGTTGCAATTTCACTTTTGAGGGTTGTATTTCAATCTTTGGAATAATGATGAAATTTAAAATTGGTCCTTAGAATAAATATTTATAAATTTAAATTGATTTTATATAGATATTTATGAATTTAAAAACAGATGTTACATAAATTTACATATGTTTACTTAATTAATGAAATCCATTTTCTTGCATCCCATTTGGATCATGTTTGTCATCTACTTGAAATCATTTCCTCCTCCTTAAAATTGAGGCATTCCTCTCTCAATCTCACTTTGTAAATCTCAAGCCTTCCAGCACTTTCACATGCTCTGTCTGAATGCTGTGGCTGATGAGATTAAATATTTATGAATTTAAATCAACATACTAAGAACATCAAACATGATTTTGAATTTCACCATCATTTCAAACTTTGAAATATTATATTATTCTCCTTCAAGTTCCAAAACAGAACAAAAGGTTTAAGACTTGAAGACCTATAATTAGGTCAAAAATATTTGTCCACATGAAAATTAATTTCCTTTTGTGTTAAAATAAGGTTTTTGGCAAGTTAATTGAATATATATATCAATAATTTTAAAATAAATTTGATATTTTTATTTTGTATTCAATGATTTCAAATGTATTACTGAAAAGCATATATTCTATATGTCTTTGCCAAATTCTTTTGAAAAATAATTCATATTGAACAAAATCTCTCATATTAGTCAAATATTTTAAACATTAAAAATACTAATAATAAACATTCTATTATTAAATAATTAACAAACAATCTAAAAGCAAAAGCAATGAAATTCAGTAAATAGCAACAAAGTTATTAAAAATCTATATACAGCTAGACTAATTACATTTGAAATACATTATTCATTTAAAAAGTTTGAGTATTCAATATTCTATAAATGTTTTTAAAATACAAAAGTAATTATACAACTATTTAAAAAAATGTAGTTTGAATATACAGCTGTCCCTTGATAGTCCGACGTTTTATAATCCGACATACTCAGTAGTCCGACACACCTCCCGTCAAGGTACCTGTCCCCGTTATGTGTCTGCTTGCACAGAAGCATGTCGCAACGTGAATCTCCCCACCCAATTCTTACACGATGACACACATTTCGTGTGTTTTCCGTGAGCAGTTCTGTTCGAACAATTGGAGTAGGGAATATTGTAGGCTACTGCTAGCAAAACAATGCCAAATAGTTAATCACTTTTGGTAATCCGACATCCCTTTGGTCCCCATACCTGTCGGATTATCAAGGGACAGCTGTATTTATCATTATCATTTATTGATTCAATTTCTATAATATATTTATCTTTTAAAATAAAATATTTTTCCTTTTAAGAGTTTTCTTCAAATAAATTTACATTCTAAATTAGAAAATAATTTTAATATTTATTAAAAGTTGTTTTTATAAATTCATAAATGATTAATACGTCTTAGAATAAATACTGTCAACTAATTATTATTAGATTTTACTTACAATAAGTATTTTTTTATTTTTCTTTGGTCTCAAAAAAAAAAAAAAAATACTTAAAAGTCATTTCAAAAACTCAAATAATTTGGAAACTTATTCTTAATATTTAAAATTATGAAAAAAATTTTAAAAAGGAATCTGAATATCACATTTATCATTATATAAACACTAACTTCAGCCTATATAAAATATCAGTTAGGATTGATTTTTTATAAATTAAGAAAAAAAAAATACTAAATGTTCTAATTTATAATAATCAGAATACAAAAGTTTTTAGATAATATAAAAATCTCTTCATATTTAAAATGTAGACAATATTTTTAAAAGAAAAAAACCCATTAGTTTATAAGATATTTTAATTAGTAGTAAATTCAGATATAAGATATGAATAACTTGATAATTTCATAATTCTAAATATTCAGTACTTTGGACTACTAATCTTTAAAAATCAACTAACTTGTTAAAGACAATTCAATGGTTTTAAAACAAACATTGAATTTAATCATTTCTGATATTTTCAAAACTAATATTTAAGTAAGACATTATTTTAAAAAGTTACAAAATCAAATTTATTTTTATTTAAATTACCTTGCGATAAATTGCAAAAATAGAACCAATAGAAACAAGACAATCTATATTGGAAGAACCATCCAAGGGATCAAAACATACAATATATTTTCCTTGTTTTTCTACTTCCACTTCAATAACATTATCATTTTCTTCTGATACTAGTAAACATGTAGCATAAGAGGATTTTAGCATATTAATAAACAGATCATTTGCCAAAACATCTAATTTTTTCACTTCTTCTCCTTGAACATTTGTCTGACCAGCAATGCCATACCTGCAGTATATAAAATAAAAAGTGAATTAAAACCTGAAATTTTAAATATATTTTAAATATCTATTTTATAACATTATCTAAAGATTGTTCTATCTGCATTTAAGAATGATCATCTATGAAATTTTGATAATTTCAATAGTTTAAATATTATTTGAGATAAGAACTGTTTAAGTTACTTTTAACTATTTAAAACAGAAAATAAAACTTAAATGAAATCAAGACTACAAATTAAAAATTGTGTCCTTGATTCATAACAGAACTAAACTGTAAACTTAAGTTTATATTTCATTTTGTAATTTTTAGCATTTAAATTTCATTGAACTAAAATACAGTTTTAGAAACAATTTGCATAAACTTGGTTTTTCAAATAATTTATTTGAAAAACCATTTTAATTTTAAAAATTGCAGAGCATATTTAAAGTATTTTTAAAACTATAATGATATTCTACAACAAAAATACTTTAAGTTATTCCTAAGTTATTTTTATCTAATTTAAAAATTGTATCAATAAGAAATTTATATTATTTATGTAAAATTATACTATCACTTAAAGCATTTATACAGGTTTTCATTAAATTATTGTATAAAAAAAATAATAGTTGTGATAATGAGAGAAAGAATTGTACACTTTATCTTAAGTTGGTCAATAATCACTGAATTTATCATAAGATAAAATACTTAAGCAAGGCTTAAACTAAGGAAATTTCAAAGCTAAAATTTTCTTATGATACTTAAAAATAATTAGAAAATTACAGTAGTATTATTAATCTGAAAACAATGAATCTAAATCTATTTGGTTTCTGATTTTTAATACAAACTTGACTGGCTATAATATAAAAGTGAATCTTTTTCACATTTTCAAAAAATTTAAGTTCTGAAGAAGAATTTAAAAGATTAAAATTTAATCTAAAACAAACAGTTTTTTTATGATGATGTTCTACTTTTATTTTTAAACTACAGATTCTATAAACTAATATATACATACATACATACATATTGATAAATATAATATATATATTTATTTTATCAATATATATTCAGGAATGAAAACTAATTTTAAAATTCAGTTTAAACAATTACTTAATTTGTGATTAATAATTTTGATTCAAGTTTAAATTTAATATAAATGAAACTTTAAAAATTTTGAAAAGAATTTTTTAATTCTTAATTATCAAGTATATTTAAATTTACATATTTTATAAATACTTAAATTTAAGAAACATTTGGTTTTTATTAAGACTATTTGTATTAAATAGGACTCTTTAAAAATTCGGAATTCATTATATTGATATCTATATAAATTCACTAAAATGATATTAAAGAATTTGTTGTTTAATATTTTCTGGCTGTGTGGAGTTTATATTTTGATCAGATTTTAAGACTTGTCTCCATTTGACAATTTCCATCATATGGATTCAGTTTAATAATGAGTTCATTGCAAGTGTTACAATAATAATTACTAACAAGGAAAAAATAATTACAATCTTCATCACAAGAATACTATCCTATAATATTTTACATCTTACATTTTGTACTTCTTTCCAATATTTATTTGGATATTTAATTTTAAAAGTTGACAAAAATTTATAAATTTGTCTGGATAATAATTGAAGAAATAACATTAAACTTTAAAATAAAAATTAAATCTAATAATGGAGAAAGTTTTATATATTTACTTTATTTACATATATTTACTTTATTTACAATATTTACTTTAGCAACAGCAATTAGTTTTTGGAATTTGAATCATTTCATTTCTAAGTTTAATTAATTTCATGATCCCAAACTCATCTTCAAGAAAACTAAGCTAACAGTAAATATTAAAAACATTACATACTTAAAATTATACTCCCAATTTAACAAAAACATCAGTTCCAAAAAAGTAAATTGATTAATACTATTTAATCTATTAAACATTTATATTTTTAAGAAATTTTCACAAAGTATTCAGAAAATAAGCAATACAGTAGAGTCTTGAAAACTCGGCCTAATGTGGACCGAAGGGTGGCCGAGTTTGTGAAAATGCCAGGTTATTGGGAATGGGGTTAAAAAAAATAAGTATGAGTGTTTCCTCAGAAAATACTGTACTGTACTTGTATGTATTGTTTACTTGAGAATACAACAGAGAATAAACTGCCCAAATACCCTTAAACAAAGGAAAAGTACATCCTTTATGAAGGCATAGAGCCTTTACTACATGAAAATGAAAATTAATGAATACACTATGTACAGTAATTTACCTGATAAGACAGACCTCAGAAAAATACTTTGAGGCATAAAGTTGTCTATAATGAAAATTAATTAACTAAAGATTTTTTTTGCCCTGCCAGGGTGTGGCCGAGTTATCCGAACTGCCGGGTTATCGAGTGCTGAGTTTGACTCTCTACTCAGTTGGGGTTAAAAATATGGTCAGGTATCATGTTAAAGTTCTTATCCAATAGATACTATTGCTGAAGAGAGATTCAAGAAAGATGCAATGATTCAGGTGTGACAAAGTGGCAAAAGGTTAAGTCTATGGACCAAACATCCCCGCTATTAAAGTTAGTCTGAGCAATTGTGTGTTTTGTAGTTTCATTATTGTAAATATGGAGATCAATAAATTACATTTTTAAGAGTATTGTTTTTATCACCCTCTCCCAACTCAACCTCACTAATTCCCATTCTCTCAAAAGCATAAGCAATGCCAGGCACATGCAGATTGTACATTGTTTATTTTCATCTTTTCACTAGTCAAGTTTAGCTTGAATGATCTTTGTCATAAATATTAGCTTAGAGCTGCATAACGGCTTGAGGCAGAAAACAAGAAAATAAAATCAGAGAACTAATTTATTTTATTTTATTTACAGATCTTGTTAACAGAGCAACACCTAGATAGATGTGTACAAAAATAATTTCAGTTTCAGGAGTAAAGGGTATTTGGATAAAGAAAAACAAAGAATAAGAATATAGATGTTCACAGTAAACAAACAAGCTTTTATTCAGGCACAATTACTGAAACAATTTTCCCCTCAGAAAACAAGAGAGTTTGTCTAACTTTCTAATACACCGGGTTGAATATAAATCTTATTTGTAACCAATTAACCGGAGCAACATTTGTTTTTAAAATGCAAAATGCCTGAAGAAGCGCCCAGAAGGGGCATCAAAAAACATTTGCATTTTAAAAATGAATGTTATTCTGGTTAATTGGTTACAAGTAAGAAGATTTAAAATACAGAAACATATGCACATATCCAGAACAAAAACTATAGCTCCAAGGGATCAAAACATACAATATATTTATATAGACCCTACCTGATTAACTAAATATTATAATACTTATTAGAAAATAGTCTAGCTATAGAATTAATTCTAAAAAATATCTGTTATTTCAAANACATTTGTTTTTAAAATGCAAAATGCCTGAAGAAGCGCCCAGAAGGGGCATCAAAAAACATTTGCATTTTAAAAATGAATGTTATTCTGGTTAATTGGTTACAAGTAAGAAGATTTAAAATACAGAAACATATGCACATATCCAGAACAAAAACTATAGCACAAATAAACTATTGTGTGTGTGTGTGTGTGTGTGTGTGTGTGTGTGTGTGTGTGTGTATGATATAATATTAAAAGTAAATTAATAACTTATCTCTGAAAGCTAATCAAAATTAGAAAGTAATTAATTATAGTAACTACAAAATTATAATAAATCTTTTTGAGCTTTTTGCAGTGCAATTTCAGATGTAACAATATCCATGCTAATTTTACACAATACAGTTGACCCCCTTATAACACTGTTGATTATTCTGTTTTATATGAATTCCATGTTGTACGAGTCACTTAGATTTTACAAATACGTGTGCCGGACCATGAACGGATCACATATTTGTAAAATCTAAGTGACTCGTACAACATGGAATTCACATAAAACGGAATAATCAACAGTGTTATAGGGGGGGGGTCGACTGTATCTCATGTCCAATAGAAACTATTGATAAATTTTTCAAGTCATTCTTGAAAGTGTTAATTTCTTTTGTTTTATAATTTCCAGTTTTAAAGTAGATCATTCACTAAATGCACTTAATACTGGAAAAAAAACCAATAAAAGTTTGTAATTGATACAGATCTGGAGGTAGCTGGATCTGTCCCTCCTTTTAGATTTCTGAATAAATATTAAAGAATATATTGAGATTGTCTTTGTCAAAATTCAAATGAATTTATGCAATGGGACATCCAGAGGGGGGCCAAGGCCTCTGGCACCCCCCCAATGAAACAGGAGGGGAAAAATACTAGAAAATTTTAATTACAAAAAGATGTTTGGAAAATTCATTTTTCTTCTTTATGTTGTGTTGTGTCTTCTATTTCTATACTACTTATGAATTAGCAGTCATATAAGGTGAGAATTTTATTGAATTCACATTAAAAAAATTTTTTTTTATCTGTTCAACTCTTCTTCCCGTGACTAAATCCCAAGTGTGCCACTGCATTCATATCACAAAATTAAATTTTTAAACCAAATTCATCAATGCCTGGATTTGGTTCATTGCTTACAAGAAACTTCTAATTATGATCAAGATGTTATGACATCCATAAGTACCTGTAAAAATAAATACCCAATGATTTAGAATAATCAAGAATACTTCTCATGAATAACTTTGATTCCATAAATTTATGCAAAAATTATCAATGTCACCAGTTCCCAAAACAAACAGTTGAACAGAAGCATTCATTATTAAGATCTTGCAAGTTTTCTTGTTTACTTGGAAAAAATAGAAAAATGCATGATCTATTCTTTTTACAAGATTTAAATTTTTACACAGTTTTTAATATTTTTACCTATTTTAATAAGTTTTTCCAACTTATTTGCAATAATCAACTCAGTAAAAATCTTTTTTTTAACAGTCAGATATACAATAGAACACAGTTATCTGAGGTTTCAAATTATCCAAGGCAAATCTACAAGTGAATAAACAATTTTTCTTATACCATAATTCATAAAAGAAAGTTTAAAACAATACTATGTATTACAAAATTGTTTGTTTTTCCATATCATTTATAATTTACCATTTATCATATTAACTTCAAATGTGAGAAAATTCATTTATATTAAAATGTTACAACAATAATACACATTGTTATTCTTAAAATTATTGTACATATTAGCTATGTAATAAATGATGTAAAAATTTTTGTTCTTATAAATTAAATTCACTAAGGTATAAAAAGAGACTTAGAAGAGATACCATATAAATCTTTTATATTGCTATTTTTAATCCAAAATGACTATGGCTTTTATCCAAGGTAGCATCAATTTCCATTACCTCAGATAATCTGGTTTCTACATAGAAAAAACAATTAAGCAAAATTAAATTCAAGCATTATTGGATGCTTAGGTCTATCTTCAGGAGAATCAATTATGTAATAGAAGAGTAATTTTTAGACCTTTTAAACTTTTGAAAAATAAACTGTTTCTCTGATAACACTTTTCTATTCCATTCATTGTTGTTTTATATACCATTATAAACACCATAAAAACAAACTGCTTTATTGGAGGCTCTATATGTATATATCCTCCAATAGAGTTTGTTTTTAAATATTGTTTCAATATTGTTTATTGAAAATTTAGCCTTTATGGAGAATAGATGTTTAACTTAGATTAAACTTTGCATTTCAATAAAACAATAGTTTTGTTATATATACAGTATCTTATATATATATAAATGTATTAAGTGCATATCTTCTGATTTTATGATTACAGCCTTGTGTTTTCACTGATTTTAATTAATAATTATTGACAAATTAATTTTGCAAAAAAAATATATAGAAATGTTCATCTCTAAGACTAGTAGGAAATGACTACTAAATTGATAAAACTATACAATTCATTTCAGTTGGCATTCCTAAAACTCTTGTCTTCTGATGTATAGATTAGAGATGTTCAATATGTTTAATATTTGTCTTTAGCAAAATCACTCTCCAGTATAAATGTAAAGGCTTTTTTTTTTTTAAGTTAAAGAGTAAGCATTAACAAAAGTGAAAGGAGCCCAGCCTTATCAATGTTTTTAATACACAGCCATGAAGCTAGCTCTGATTTTTAGCATACCTAGATTGTCATAGCAATTTACAATTTATGGAAATTTTAAAAAAACCTTTACATATAATTTGAATGCTCATTTATTTATTTTTATTATTAGTTACTTTTCATAACCATCAAGTACTGTATATTATTTTAAATTTTAGATTTAAATAAAAATGATAAACAATGTATTAAAATAGTATTAAGTCCACTTTTAATTATAAAATTTATTCACAGTTCTTATAATAAACAAATTTTTTTTTAAAATTTATAATATGAAACGAAAGAGTGCATTACAACTATTGAAGATGACAAAAAATAAAAATGTTATGAGCAATTGGGATTTAGTTAGAAATTTTATAATATAGGAAAAAAAAATTGCTGATTAAGCAGAACACAACATTCACTGGAGACACTCTTTTTTTCTAATACAGTCTCCCAATATAAGTAAAAAAAATTTAAAGTACAATTAAAAATTTAATTTAATTTCATTTACAGTAACAATGTAATTATTTTAAAAAAAACTACTTTTATTTTATTTCAAAATTTTTAATTGCAAAATTCTTCATACCATTTATATTAAATTAGGCTTATCTTTACTATGATATAAATTTATGTATGGAGTTAGGCAATCAGAATTATTTTCATGCTTTGAAATATAATCAATTTTTGCAACTTCAAATGATATGGAAATTATTCTACCAATAATGTATTTATTGCATCATTTTTAATGCATCAGTAGGATTAATTAAAATGAAAATTAAATAGAAAAATTTGTAACCAGCATTTTATTTTTGATCTTGACAAATCAAGAAAACTTATCAAATGAATATCTGAAATAAAAAATACATATTAATTTTTATTAATGCAGTTATATAAAGTTACCGATTTTACATTTTAAATAATAAATATATTAGAAAATAAATTCAATATAAAGGTTAATTAATCAAATTTATTAAATAAACCACTTCAACAAACAATAAACTAACTTTTTTTGATTGCAAATAAGTAAATATACAAATAATATTTTAATTGAAACCTAATTCCTCAAGATAATTCACACATAACCTATTTTGCAAGAATAACTTCCAACATATCGAAATGGACTCACAATTTGGCAATTCCTGCCTTCCTGACTGCAGTCGAAACTGCTTTAACGGCCGTCAAAATAGTACTTAACAACTGGGTGAAGTCACCTGTTGCTCCTGGTATTTTCCGTTGTTCCGCCAAAACAAAACGAGTTAATGTCATACAATTAGTATCGATAGATGGTCCCGTCGATGTCATTTTGTAAAATTAACGCGCTTGAAACTCACACGAATCGAAATCGCCACCACCTAAATTGACCTCCAAACTCGCCTCGATTCTTATCACGTGGAAATAATCAGCTGATTAGTTAGCGCCATCTCACTATTTTAACTTTTTTTTTTTTTTTTTTAAACCCCTTCCCTTGCAATTCAATACATATAAAAGTTTCTAAAAACGTCATAAAACTCTGTTCAATTAGTTAAATATTCGCCTTTACTATTTATCGCGTAAATTTATTACATATTAAAATTCATTAACCATCCGCGAATCATTAAATTTGTAAATTAAACTTTTGACGGAATTTTCGCAGCAAAACGTTGGTTCGTTATAAACTTACATATTAGCTAATCCAGCAGCTCTGACTACGGACGATATTGATTTGATGCTCGTTAATATAATTGTCAAAAGAGTTGTGAATTCGCCAGTAGCGTAAGGAACCTTCCTTTGCTCTTCAACTACAAATGTAGTTAACGTCCTAAAATTGGTTTGAATTACTTGAGAACTCGTCATGCCGAAGTTTTTCTTTATTCCCACCTATTGTCTAGAACTGGAAAAAAAAAACGAAAACAAAATATAAATATACCTTTCACTACAAAGAAAAAAATAGACATTATGATATTTTAAAAAAACATTACAGTATTATTACAATTATGATCAAACGAAGTTACACTCACTTAAAAAGATATAAATTACTTAATTTACTTATCAACTGCATTATTTAAATACAAAATATTAATTTATGATTAAATAAATATCCGAATTTTCACAACTCTCCAGAAATACCCTCAAGTCATTCCAATTGCAATGCTTGACAATGCTAAACATAATTATGAATTTAAATGTTCAATTAAAACGTAGTATAAATGAACTGAATGAGTAGTTTTCAGAACAATTAGTTATAAATCTTCAATGGCATTTATGTTCAATTAATTATTTATTACTGTAATGTAAAATTATATTATAACGAATTTCTGATGTAAAAAAATACTAATTGTAAGTTTAAATAGCCCGAAAAACTGAAATATGCTTATAATTTTAAACGATTTTTTTTATCCTCGCTTATAAACGGAAGTACTTGTTAATTAAAAAGAACTGTTATTCGTCCAAAATACTATTCTTGGTGGTGTTTTTTTATTTATTTAAATAATTTCGTTTTCTAAAAATAAGTTAAGTTAAAGATATGTTTATATAAAGTATAGAAATACATTGTTTAATATATAATTTATATTTGATTATTTATCTTTGGTTATTTCTATAAGTATGCCGATGAAACCAAAAAAAAAGGAGAATAGACACTTCTACTGGGCGACAAAGTTTGCTGTTACAACAGAATTTGTAGACAAGATACTTCTATTCGTTTGACTTTCAACTACAGAAATTTTTTCCATTTTTACTTCAGCCCCGAGCAATTTTACATTTCATTCCATATCGAATTTACTGGAGAAAAAAATGCTAAAAACATTTTCCCACTTTATTGTATTTTAAACTTTGATAGAATTTTCAAACTGATTATAGAAAGTCTCCTTTTTTAACTGTTAGAATGTATATTTGCCTATAGAAAATTTAAGTAAGTTATGTTACTATATATTTCTCTGCATATGATATTGAATGATATGCTTAAAATGTCGATTCTGATTACTTTATTCTTCCAATATTAAAAATTTGTAAAGTTCTTTTTAGTAGTTGCAAAATTACTACATACAGTTCTATACTATAAATAAATATTTAATAATCAATGATTAAAAATTTAAATTATTTTTAATATTCACCTATTATATTTCTGATTGCTTTTTTGAATATTAAAAATATTCGGTAATAATCATATATAAGCGCCAAATTTAAAATAATTAATGGATAAATATATTGTAATAGTAAACTTATTTGCAATGTAATATATTGCCATTATATACAGGAGAAATGTTTATATTAAATTTATATCACCATGGTTCATATCAGAACAATACGCAGATTCTTCGGATTTTATTATTTTCTTCCTGAAAATTACTGTTTTGTGTATATAAAGCATCTTATTAATAGTCTACAATAAAATTTAATACATTTGAAATTTCCAATTGTATTTTATCTTTTATAAATCGTTCTGATGTGAAGTCTTCCTCGAAAATACTGTTTTGGTTGCGATTTATTTTGATTAGTCTATATTTTTCGGTTGATATGATCTATTTTTCTTTGGTATAAATCATAAATTTCTGAATTGTACGATAGATAATATAAAGTTTCATAATATTAATAGTTCATCATATTAATGAGATCATTACATCTATATCAATAATAGTTACTGATATTATAATCACAGTGTTTCAGTAATAATTTTGCGATGACGATTTCTGGTATCAATACCAAGTTAACTATTTCAATTCATATAAATTTACTTGTTAAAGCTAAAAAGAAATTATATTATGAAAAAGTAATGGTATTTTAACATTTATAATGCAAATTATGATAATATTTTTGAATAAATTATGAATTTTTAAAACAAAAATCTGTGATTTTTATCTTTATTTTAAACATATTTAATTAAACTAGATTGCCCTACCAAAAATAATACTTATGTTATAATTTTGTAAAGAAATCAAACATTTTGATTTTTCTGCCCAAATTCTAAAGTAATTATCAAATCGTTTTCCTAATTTTCTTCATTAAAAATGTCATTTCCTTGATTGTGACAAAGTAATTTATCACATAAAACAGTATCATAGCAAAAGAATGAAGCAATTTAAACGTAATTGAACTGTTATTTTATACCTTATAATTTCAAAATGTTCAGCGAAAACATACACGTTTCAAATATATATGATGCTCTAAAAAACTATTAATAATTATTTTATTACATTAAATTTTTTAATTTAAAATTACAGATTTCTAAATAAACTAAGTATTCAGTTGTAAGAATTATGCGATTAATGAATTTCAATATATAACATCAAAAATCCAGAAAATTACAGGAAATGCAATAATTTCAGCTAAAAAATAAATAAATAAAAATAAAATAGAATAAGATAGAAACTGAATTTTAAAAAAATCTGCATGTACTGCATATACTGTACAGTACATTTATTATTAGAATAAATAGATACAAGAGAAGTAATTATTCATCATCTCTTTTATGCGCTCTTTACTCTTCCCAATTCTAAATATATTTGAAATATTAATATAAATAATACATTACTTTCTAAATATAAAAAAAAATTAAATTAAAACTTGAGGTTATTGTTAAAATTAAATAGTTTAATGAGGATAAGTTACATTCATCAAAACTCCCTAACTATATAAATACATAAACCTATTTTTAGAATAAGATATTCAAAACATGCATTAGCGAAATATTGGAATTTTCTTTTGTTTTCTTTTCGCTTACGTTAAACTCGAGTTTTAAAAGATTTCGTTAACATTTTAAGCTAACAGTTTTGCAGGCCATTCACAAACTAAAGTACAGTACTGAATATACAGCTGAAGGTCAAAAGTATTTATTGTCCTTAACAAGAAAAAGCCCTCTACTGGTACAAAAACGAAACTTTAAAAAGACTTTACGTAACTTTTAAACATTCAAAATAATAAAATTCTATATTAAAAGTAATATATAGGCCTATATACATTCTTTTGTTTAATTTTTTTTAACGTTACAAATAGATTTATTTAATATAAGATATAATAATTTAAAAATTTAATTAATATCTTAAAGGTTTGTTATAGAGGAATTTCGTGTCATCATTAAGATATTTAAGGGAAATAACCATTCATGTGTATTGAAATCGGCTTTTATTCAAAAGATCAAAGTTTATGTAGGAAAGACATTAGCTTTGATTAGAGAATTTCATAGTTTGAAATTAGTTTCTATATACATATTATATTACATAGCTTATATAATCTATATAATTCTTAGATTACCTTTGTATTATTTATATAGAATAATCAAGAAGAAAAATAGTAATTTCTAGTGTTGATTATTTGTATTAATAATACACGATAATCCTCGAAGATACACAAACCGTAAACCGTAAGTTCAGAGAAAATTTATCGTTATTATATCTCGCTTTCTATCATAAAATGCCCAAAGATTTTTATAATATCCAAACTATTAAACATATATTACTCATGGATGATTAGGAAAAATATTCTTTTCTATAATTATCGCGTAATAAGTGATTAAAACTATTAATTTAAATAAAAAAAATACGTATTTTAGCATTCGACATTCGTAAATTCAAAATTTAATGTGATTGACATTCTAATTATATTAACTATATATATATTATATGCTACACATTAAAATAGCTTTGAACTCAAGCAATATTAAGTTATATTTAATTTTATTAAACTATTATTTATATTGAACATTATATTTAATATTTCACATATTAAAAATACTACATTAAACTTTTAATTTAAATATATTATAAAAAAATTAAAATTTTAAAAGTTGCAAGAGTTAATATTTTTCGTCAATGTCTTTCATCTTTCATTATTATTAATTCAATAAAGCTTCATTTAATTATCATACCGGCAATTGAACTTAAAGTCAATGAAGAGAGTTTTCATCACTTTAAATTATTTATTGCCGCATATTATATTTTACTGTAGATTTTAAACTAGATTGGAAACTATAACGATTATCGATTTTCAGTCGGAACAACAAACGAACGAAACTCGATGATATTCATTTTTAACAGGATAAAACCCAAGTGTATATTGCTGTGATATTTATTCAGAATTTGAACTCGTTCAAGCAAATTAAATTGCTGTTAAAGAGCTTTAACGGAATTGAAATATATTAATAATAAAAAAAAAAAGTCAAAGTGATGATTTTGATTAACCGTACGTAATCTCTATTCCATTGTATTTTAACTGGATTATCTGACTTACTCTTGAAGAATACCTCCGGGTTAATACTACGAAAGAGGCAACCCAATTAAGATAACAGAGAGTTTGAACAAGAGAAAATCAATAAATACTAGAATTTTTGCTCTAGACTTAGGAAAAAAATTTTTTTTCTCTTGTTTCAAGAAATAATATAAAAATTTAATATTGTAGTCCATATACTATAAAGTTTATATGAATATATAACACGTCTTACATATTTATATAAGATACATATTATAGTTTATAACTTTTCTCTTATTTACATAATACTTATGCAAGCGCAATATATATGCACAATAAGATATTATATTTGTTTTAAATTAAATGTAGTAAAATATATTAATGTTTAATCTTTATGCAGAATTTTAAATCGCTCGATAATATTAATATATAATAATACATTTAATATTTATTTTCAAAAAATGACATTAAATAAGATTAAAGTAAATATTACGATAAATTAGTTGCAACAATCGTGATGAATTCATTCAAATTAATGTACAGAAATTTGATTGAATGGCATTTTAATTATCAATTTTCAAATAATATACACAAATAAATAATATACAGTTTGGAATTGTAATAAATTTTCGCGGATTTTCCAAAACAACTGCTTTTTGCTTGTTTAGTTTTATAATGAAAATAATAAATGAAATGAATACATTTTCGAAAATGCGAATAAACTGATACTAAGAGAATGTAAAGGTTTAAATCATTTGTTTCTCATTATACGAAATCAATCCCTTTCGTGAAAGCGAACAGATGTTATGTGAAGCTACTAACAAATGCTTTAGTTCTAACAAGGATATGCGAAATCCACGCGAATAATTTGAAACTTTATTAATAATTCGATTAATAAACATTTACTATTGATAAATTTTCACCTATTGCAGTACAGTACATTTGTATATAAATTACTAATAATATTTTATAAAATAAAACGATATAGAAATAAACAAATAAGAATTCACTTATCATTTGAAATATATTTTTTTCCTCCTTCAGTCGTGTAATTGCTTTCGTATTAATTTATGAGTAAATTTATCAATTACTTTTCGAGGAAAATATTCGAAATTTGTAATGGAAAATTGGCTTATAAACACTTGAAACATCATTAAAATCTACGCAATAACTAAATGTTTACTTAATTAAACTTTAAATTGAGACAGCGCAAAACGATGAATCACTTTGGTAATTAAGTGGTTTAAGCGAATATATTTTAAGTAGTACTTAATTAATATTATAAAAATAATTTACATATTCGTATTTTTCTACTGACATCGTTATTAAAAGAAATTCGTCCATGTTTAATTTATAAAGCGCATGCACGTCAGTATTAGTATAAAGTGTAAGCGTAGTACGATTTTTAAACATGAAATTGCATTGCCGTCCTAGAAAGTTTTATTTGCAATTTTTTATAAAATGGTCATAGATCACGAAAAGAGAATCTAGAGGATTTGATTTGGATGTTACGATGCGGGAATACAAACAATGAAAATATATTATTTTCGAATCAATTCTGGAATCGGGATTAAAATCAAAAATAAATTTTTGAATGATATTTTAATAATTCGATAACGTTTCACCAAGAAGAAATATTACAAAATAGATTTGAAAATATAGAAAATCATTTTATAATTGAACGTAATTTGCAATAAAATTAGAAATTTATTAATGTCATTATCTAATTTTAAAGACTTTGACAGTTTCATTTAAACGAAGAGGTTAATGATTATTAAGGATACTTAAATAAATTAATTAAATCACTAATATTTAAATATTAATATTATAAATCGGTTTGTAATATCGTATAATATTTAATGAGAATCTACAGATTTTCTCTTATTTGTACAGTGTTCAGTTAATAAATAAAATTCTAGATTTATCTAATAATGAATTAAGTTTTTTTTCTTTTAGTATCAGTCGATATTTTTAGAATAAAGATTAATTTCTTAAGAAACTAAAGAAATATATGTGTTTTTTTTAAAATCTTTAAAGATTGATTTCTATTTTTAATTTTCACACTTGAATTTTTTAAACAATTTTCCAAGTCCTCTTGAGAACAATTCAATAATGTTATCAGTATTTTTAATTTAAAAGATTTCCATTCTTATTTTCTACAAAAATAAATATTCGTGATAGAGTGGACAATTACGAGATTTCTATATATCGAATGGTTAGTAGTACCTTCATAATTTATGCATTTATCGACTACCTTCAGGTTCATGCCATACAAATTATGACCTTTAACCTAGGAAATCAATAAAGTTGCATCAAATACGACAGCGGCGATTAACATCTCTTTATGTGACGAATAAGAATCATAAAGTCCGATTGGGTTATTTTTTTAAAAAGAAATATTTCCTTATTTATTATTATTTGATTTCATATGAGTTTAAATATGAATGATTTATATGGATTATTTAAATGAGATATTGACTTTTAAATGCTCATCCTCGAATAAATAGATCAAATATTCATATTAGTTTATATTTTTAAAAATGTATTAATTAATTCATTTCTTTTAATATTTTTCAGTTTTAAAAATTAACTTCGTTTTCATTTAATTTATTTAATTTTTATATTCTTTCTTTACAGAATTTTGAAGGAAATTAAAGAATTTTATATATTTGAACATTATTTTTNAGTTGCTACTGCTAACCAACCATTGAATCTTCTCCAGTCTCCGCCCAACTAAACCTTATGATTTTATTATTGAAGTTGACATAATATAAAACTACTAACAGTTTCAATTAAATAAATAAATAAATATGTATGATTTGTATTGATTTTCATCGAATTTTTATACAGATAAAATATTGCCTAAACAATATATGTAGGTTTATATATAATAAAGGCTATATTTTTAGAGGTATTATCTATTAGTTCGTGATACATATATGCAAGTACTCACGAGAGACGTAGCATTTTAAAGTAAACTAAATTCACAATACAAAATCCATGAATTTAAATCAAATAATTTTATATAAACTGCGTTTTTTTCTTTCTTTTTTCTAATTGAAAATTCGAAATTAAACTTTAGTTAAGAAAGTATTTTAGCAATATCTGAGAAACTTGAATTATTCATGGGTAGAATAATTTTTCAATAATTTGTTAATTATTTGAATTTACATAATAAAATGATTTTTATCGGAAAAGCGTTACTCCAAAAACAAAAGATTAAAAATTTTACTGTTAACTTAACTAGGCTACACCTTACTAGAATGACATTTACTTCTTTTATTCTATCCGAAAATAGTTGTAGTTTATAACCATTTTATCAATAGATAATCGAATTTGAAGTTCAAAATTCTATCGATTTATTAAAATTATCTTTACTTTAAGTAACATTATCGATATCTTTCTTATACGGAAATATATTCTTATGACTGTTATCGTTACAGACCAACAAGTTACAGACGTTTCAATTTACTATCACAAGCCAGCGAGTGTAGAACAAAAAAACACAATAAACAACGAAAGAAAGTGAAAATAAAAAGAAAAAAATATTGAGAATATTAAAAAAAAACTTCTGTAAAATAGATATCAGAAAAGGAAAATTGTATTCGGTGCGGACACCTGGAAATCACAAAAGAATATTTTCAATTTTATCTTTTAAGAACTGCACTGAAATCGCCTACCACTAGCAGAAATACTTCCATTTCGTTTTCTTGTATCCAAGCAACGAACACGTGACCTAGTGTCATCCTTCATGTATTGGAACAGAGTAATGTCAAAATAGAAAATATATGATTATCTAAACTTCAATTAAAAATATAAATAAAAAATTTAATCGGCCGATGGTTAATTAGTTGGCGTGTAATTATACTGTACTTAAACTTTCAGAAATTGTATTGTTGTAATTGTTTAAATTATCATTGTATTATCAATACTTTCTACGGGCGAATATTTTCGAGTGTCCGATATTACATTAATTATACACAGACTGATAATCTGCGATTTTCTTGTAAAGATTTTATATTAAGAAGTTTTCGAGGAGAATTTCCATCTTAGTTTCATAAGTTCTGTTTGCCTATTGGAAGGTTTCTTAATATTATCAATGACGTCACAGATGCGCATTGGTAATCCTCATCCCAGACTTTCATTCCGAATAAAAGCAAATATGACTTGGATCCTTCAGCAAACAAATTAGAATTAATTCCTTACCTTGTAAAGAATTGATTATTTTGCGTTTTATATTGCTATTTTGACATTTACTGACTTTTAAATTCCCATATTTATCTAACGTATTATTTGCATATGCGTAGATAATTCTTAACCCCTTTTTTTCTCAGTTATTTTGAAAATTTTAATGCTCTTTCATACTACAAATTTACTTAATTAAATCTGAAATAGTTTTAAGCATTTTAATAAATTAATAAAATGCTAACGGAAGATTAATTTGCGATATGTAAATTTAATAGCAATTACATTAAAATTTTCCTAATTAAAAGTTTTAAAAAGGAATGTAAAGCGAAATCATATGTTTATACGAGTTATATTGCATAATAATTTTTAGAAAATATAATTATTTTATTTTTAAAAAAGGATATTAAAGAAGAAGGATCTAGAATATCAAGGTGTTAAAATAGAGTCTGTTATACTTAGAGAGATCATAAACAAATATCCTGAGGATGATAATATACTAGATTTGTATAATAAGAGATAATGCTCATCTAAATGTCTTTATTAATTGCAATACGTTGGAAATTAAGTTTAATAAATAGGTTGTAATTAAACGTTGAATACATCATAAACTTATAATTACGTGGTAAATTTGAGGATGGTATTTAAAACGTAATTTTCTCATCCGTGCTTATTTGAATGAGGTAAAATCCTCGAAAAAAATGAAATAATAACGTTTAGAACATTATCATTTATTTTTATCAAGAAAAATAAATTTTACAACTCGCATTACCCAAAATGAAAATGATGATTTAACTAAGCGATTACGAAGCATTTTCTATTGTTATGAAATTTCTCTTAATAATTGAATTTTTATTTTTAAATGTTTAATTATATTTAAAATTATAATTTAAGTTCTACGCTTATTATAATTTTCTGTGCATATGTTAAAGTGCGCTTAATTAATTCATTAATTGTACATTAAAAATTTATGCTTAAGTGCTCGCAATTTGAAAGATGCATTATAATTCCCTCTATTAGTTACAGATTCGCTTATGTTTAATATTGATTTTAAGCAATTAAAATTGTTTCTTTCGTATACTGTACAAACAAAAGAATTACGCTTACTCTACGTATGGATTCAGTTGCATTCTACTAGATATAAAATAGAAATTAACTTGAATGATACTTACAGAAAGTGTTGATTTATGTATCTGTTGTTGATTTAGTAAGATTTTCCCATTTTTTTATGTGGAAAAAGGTAAATTCTTCAATTAACAAGAGCGAGGCAGGTAAGTTGCTACTGCTAACCAACCATTGAATCTTCTCCAGTCTCCGCCCAACAACATTGTACACGTGCACTGTCTCTACTCACACACGCAGTTACTCGATGCACTTGGGATGATGGTATCCTGGAATGTGCTTCTCCTGCTTACGTCAGATAAAAATGCTTTACTTTTGTATCAGGTAAGTGTTTAAGGAATTTTCCAAAATAATATTTTTTCACTGTCATTTTTTAATCTAAAATGTAAAAATTACAAGAATTTTAAAGAGTAAGAGTATAAATTCAATTGTAGTATTCTTGTAGTTTAAATTATATATATATATATATATTGTTAAAAAACAATATAAAACATTGTTTATTCTTTAAAATATACCTTTACTTTAAGTAACATTATCGATATCTTTCTTATACGGAAATATATTCTTATGACTGTTATCGTTACAGACCAACAAGTTACAGACGTTTCAATTTACTATCACAAGCCAGCGAGTNAGTGTTTTAAAAAGTTCAGATGTTTTGGATAGATTTCTTTCTCTGTTCAGAACAATAGTCCAATACTGGTTGTCTTCTTTCATTGTTGCTTATACAATTCTCCCATCAATAATTCCACCATACCTGTCTTCATGACGTCATGTAGGAGAAGAAAATGTTTCAGATCATTTCTTTCCAACTTTCAATTCCTGCAGCTGTTACTGGTTTTTGTAAGAAGCAACATGAAAGAAGTTATGATTACTTTTATTCTTTTGCATTTTATAAACAATTGCTTCTTTTATTTTTATTTGATAAAATTTATAAAAATAATAATTATACATACGCACTTATAATCGTATTAGTTTTATTGAAATTTTATGTATTATAGTAATTTATATGATACTTTATTTTGATTTATATAATCACTAATCGAAACTTAAATTTTAAATACAATATTTAATTTACAATACATTACTAAATTTAATTATTATTAAAAGTAATGACGATAATACAGCACTTAAATTAACTGTTGTATAAGCATTTACTTACTCATAAAGAAATTTATATTTACATATTGATTAAACATGAAATAATTAGATTGATAAAGTACTCGGTTCATGCTATGAGATGTATAATTAAAAAGGCATTTACAAGAATTATCATTACAAATTATGAAAAATTTCAAAGCAGTAACGTTATTCGTTGTATTTTTTCCACTCTCATTTTAATCAAAAATAAAAAAATTATAGAGATTTAAAGAATAAATCATAAGTAGTAAATTTATTTATTTATTTAATTCGTCGTGACATGTATACGGAAAAATCATTTTAAAATAGAAATTATTTTAATAAATTTATGAAAATTTTGGCTATTTAACATTTTTTAGTATTGAAACTATTGTGTAAAGCAATTGTTAAAAGTTTATGGCTTTATTTCATAGATAGAAGAATGTGTAATACATATTTAACAGGAACAATGCATACATTGATGAAGATGCTCGTAAATGGTGGAAATTGAACGAGAATATATAGCAAACTCTTATACGTTATTTAAGGTGTGTATGTGTGTGTATATACACACATATACATAAACGTATACAATATATATATAGACATATAGATTTTTACCTTTACATTTCTATCAGTTTTTGATGATAAATTCCATTTCGTTTATACATATTCATGGTTACTTTTATGAAATAACAATGAAAAAAATAATCAAATAGGTTATTTTTTTCTTGCACTGATGACATTTATTTTTATATGGTAATAATATAAATTAAATTACTGTACATTACAGATGTTGAAGAGGCAATCGAAAAATCCGGATTAAAGAAATGATTTAAAGTTAATACGGTAGTTAATTTATAAAATGGCTTAGGTTTTTAGAATTTTCAACATGCACACAAATTTTAAAGGAGCTAGGAAGAAAGTATATCACGTTATACCTTTAGAACCTATTAGCCATCATAGAAATACACATTCAGGGTAAGTTTTATAACTGTTTTTATATTGGCTAATTTATTCTGGTAAGAAATTTTTCATGCGTTACTATAACATATGAACGATTTAAAATATTAAATATTTTTCCTGTAAGAAGTAATTACTTATAATGATCGATTTTTAGAGGAAAGATAATTTTTTTATGGAGGTTATATATATTATTTTATATATTTAATGCTGGAATCGAATAAAAAATTGATATATTTTTGTCAGAAAAATACTTTTAGTACTGAATAATGCTAACAGATGGCGTGAAGAGTAAATATATTAAATTTTGTTTTATAAAATATTATTTTATTCATAACTTAATAGTGAGAATCTTGCCCGAAATGAGGAAAGTAATGTTATTTCTTTCTAAAGCTTAATAATGTTCGTGATACGGATCGTAATAAAAAGCTTCATCATGCTTGAACATTGTTATCGCGTAGTGTCACGGAATATTGACTTTTTATTACTAAATTTTATATTTAATACTTGTGTATAACAAATCTGTTCTATGTAAATGTCAGGTAATTATAATAATTTCAGTTATGATGAGTAATGTTATATCATTTTTATTTTCAAGCTATTAAAAATAAAACACGTATTTTTATAGCCAAAATTATCATTAAAATAGTTTTTTATAACTATATTCTAGATTTGTTTACACAATATTAATTTAGTATTTCGTTACTTATTTATTTGAAATACATTAATTAAAATATCGAATTACAGAAAGATTTTAAACATCCGCAATTTATCTGAAATATTTCTAATAAAATGTTAAAAAGTTTTGAATTCTTAATTGTAAATTTATAGCTGCACGTTGCAAAATGATGATTTTTTTTAGTTTATATTTATTTATTTATTTACAAGATTTCAAACTGTCTTCTTTATATTATATTTTAGTATAGTTCGAAACATAAAATTTTATAAAAAAGTTTAAAGTTTAGCTTTGACAGTGTTTAAAAAAGTTCAGATGTTTTGGATAGATTTCTTTCTCTGTTCAGAACAATAGTCCAATACTGGTTGTCTTCTTTCATTGTTGCTTATACAATTCTCCCATCAATAATTCCACCATACCTGTCTTCATGACGTCATGTAGGAGAAGAAAATGTTTCAGATCATTTCTTTCCAACTTTCAATTCCTGCAGCTGTTACTGGTTTTTGTAAGAAGCAACATGAAAGAAGTTATGATTACTTTTATTCTTTTGCATTTTATAAACAATTGCTTCTTTTATTTTTATTTGATAAAATTTATAAAAATAATAATTATACATACGCACTTATAATCGTATTAGTTTTATTGAAATTTTATGTATACAATTGAGTGTAAAGTAAGCTTTTGTGATTTATATTTTTATTCTTGTTGATACGGATATTATCCGAGGATATTTATTATTATTATTATTATTAATAATAGTTTATAATAAAGTAGGTGTGCACTTTCAAAAAGATTTGTTGAAGATAGTTTGGAATCTAGTTATATTTTGAAAAATGATCATAGACATTTATGACAACGAAAATAAAGATATATGGTGCATAAAATATTTATGTTTTTGTAGTTCTCGAATGACATTTTATCACGTGATTGTTGTTGTTTAGGGTGGTTTTCTCTGTTTAATTAGAGCAATATTTCAATGAAATGATGCGAATAATTGCAAAATTATAATTGCTTTTATAAATACATTTGTAAGAGAAAAGTTTGCTTTTGACGTAAATCATTTTTCATCACGTAAATTGTAACGAATGTAAATCCATTCCAAACAATTTTATTATTATCATCATTTTTGATTATAAACATTTTATAGACATTATTACAAAAGTTGGTTTTAGCCATTGGTATAATAAATTAATTAAATCACTAATATTTAAATATTAATATTATAAATCGGTTTGTAATATCGTATAATATTCAATGAGAATCTACAGATTTTCTCTTATTTGTACAGTGTTCAGTTAATAAATAAAATTCTAGATTTATCTAATAATGAATTAAGTTTTTTTTCTTTTAGTATCAGTCGATATTTTTAGAATAAAGATTAATTTCTTAAGAAACTAAAGAAATATATGTGTTTTTTTTAAAATCTTTAAAGATTGATTTCTATTTTTAATTTTCACACTTGAATTTTTTAAACAATTTTCCAAGTCCTCTTGAGAACAATTCAATAATGTTATCAGTATTTTTAATTTAAAAGATTTCCATTCTTATTTTCTACAAAAATAAATATTCGTGATAGAGTGGACAATTACGAGATTTCTATATATCGAATGGTTAGTAGTACCTTCATAATTTATGCATTTATCGACTACCTTCAGGTTCATGCCATACAAATTATGACCTTTAACCTAGGAAATCAATAAAGTTGCATCAAATACGACAGCGGCGATTAACATCTCTTTATGTGACGAATAAGAATCATAAAGTCCGATTGGGTTATTTTTTTAAAAAGAAATATTTCCTTATTTATTATTATTTGATTTCATATGAGTTTAAATATGAATGATTTATATGGATTATTTAAATGAGATATTGACTTTTAAATGCTCATCCTCGAATAAATAGATCAAATANGGTTTACATATACTTTTTTACGTATGTAAAATGTATTTTTAACTAAAAATATTTAAAAAAGAGAGAAAAAATTATAAAAAATTATGAATGCCAAAACTAAAGGAGATAATGTTTGATAATATTTTTATTTCGAGTTAAAACGAGAACCAATATTAGCTTAGGCATTAATGCAATTCTGATGACTTCCTCCATTATTTCAGATTTTTCAAATTCTCTAGATTTAGTAACTAACCTCGTTTATTTTGAAATTGTGTACAGAAATGTAATTTTTTTCCCTGGAATATAATTTATTTATAATATAAGTTTATTGTATTTTAAAATTTTAATTACCTCGTTTAATAATTTTCGACACATATTCATTCCATTACACATCCGTTTATAAAAGTTTCAATTAAACTATGCTTAATAAAGTTACGAAGTTTTAGACAATTTGGAAATTTTCTATTCTGTTATTTAATTTAATAATAGATTATTAAAATATGGCCTGAAGTCACGTGATTACATAGTAGTT